AAATCTGACCTACCCTGACCTAATCTTTAAGTCCTTGAAGAGGTAACACTTAAGTTTCCATCATCAAAGGAAGAGTATGAGTTAACTAGACAAAGAGGTGGGGGCAGTTATGGTTGGAAAAGTTATGATAGGTAGAGGGAAGAGTGAAGGTCCCAGGCAGGAATGAGACGATGAGCCTGATTCCATCACAGTAGGGCATAGTAACATATAGCAAGCTGTCACTTGGGACATGGGTTGGTCAGCTGAGGGATGGGTGGGGAAAGACATTTATTTTGGTTTATGGACCAGATGGCAGGGAGGCAGTAGCTGGGCCTCACAACACAATGATCAGTATCTACATGATAATTTCTATATTATCAGGTAGTTATTGACTTTGTGTCAGTAATCAGTTCAGATTGATCTGGCAGTCTCCCTTACTACATGTTGACCCCAAAGCCATGTTTTTATATCTATCCAACCCTGGAGAGTACCCTCGAGGCAGGAACTGAAGTTAAGAGCTGGGGTATGGGAGTTCCTAAATCCCGTGGCTGCCTGATTCATAATGGCTAGCATGAGGCCCAGCTGCCTCTAGGAAGCGACAGAACAAAAAATGACAAGCCAGGGATGCCAAGTCAGTCACTTCCTGTTTATTACGTATCTTTTATGCTCAGGTCCAAGGTGACAGGGCAGAGTTCACAAATGTGAGCTCAGCTCTTCTGGGCAGAGAACTTGTTGTCAGTGGTGCCATCTGCAGGGCATTCAGGAATTTGCCAGGAATTTGTTGGATTGGAAAGGGAAAATGCCCTTTTCTCTTCTCTCTCATTCAAGTCTCTTAATCTGAAAGGTACAATAGGGCTGAAAGACTCCTATTCCTTCTGATGTTTTGGCAGGCAATTTAAGGCCTCTGGTCCTACCAGGCCAGGCTGATCAGAGGGCTGATATCACTTCCCTTCTTCTCTGCCAATGATATCTGTTATTTGGAAAAAGAAAAAAAAAAAAGAAAAAGGAAAATGAGGCACTGGGCTCCTCTCATTTTAAGGTCACCTCAAAGTGGCTAAGGATACTGCGTTGTGAAGGTATTTAAGCATGCTGGTGTTTAAAAAAAAGGTGGGTGGGTATAAATTGAAAGTCTTCATGTAGTTAAGGTGAATGATCGTTATGATTATTGTTATCATCATCATCATCCTTACCATCTCTAAGTAAACCCTTCTTGGGTTTTACTTATGTCTCTTTCTTTTCTAAATAGATTGCTCATTTTCCTTTGCCAGTGGCTTTGGCATCTCACTGAGTTGAGCTGTCAAGTCCTGGGTACCTTGCCCCTCATCTCCTAAGCTTAGATGCACATCTCTAAACTTCAAGTCCTTCCAGATGTGATTGTACTATTCACCACCCTCTTCTGAGAAAGGAAGAATGGGAATCTGTAGTGCAAAAGGGAAAATAGGCCTAGAAGGTTAAGAGACCCTGACTAATGACAGAACAAAAAGTCAAGTGTCTCAGTCTGTTTCCCAGTCCTTTCTACCCTGAAACTCAACTCCTCAGGAGATGCTTAAAGAGACCTGGGCCTGGAAACAGAATGAATACATTTTACAAACCCCTTGGGTTTAATGTTGATATTGAATAGAATAATAAAGAATCTGTCCTAGGGGGGAAATAAACAGTCTTTTTACTTCCATTAGAGCATTCCATGGGCCATAATCATGGCCAGGCATTGTGCTTGCTGCCAGGGCAGAGATATAGATAATCAGACCCAGTGCCCCCCAAAGGAATACTTGGTGGCATTTCCTGGCTGCCTTGGCATTTCATTATAGGCATCCCCCCTGCCTCCCTCCCCCAGTCTCCCACTTGGTACTTCATGTCACCAAAGGTTTTGAGTACTTGTAACTACTAATCATCATTTCGACATATAAGATGATTGGGAACAGAAGGGACAGAGGGAATACTGAACTCAAGCAGCCAGTTGGATCAGTAACGACATAATTAGAGTATAGAGAGGATTAGATAGTCCAGGAGGAATGTAGATAGGAGGTGTTTATTCTAAAGGATAGCTTAAATTAAGACAACAAAAAAATTTTGAGCTTGAACTGTAGAAAATGGAAAATCTCTCTAGAAATTTCCTCCTTTTTATTTATTTATTTTAAAATTTAAAAAAAATTTAAATTTTCTTTTGAAAATGTTTATTTTTGAGAGAGAGAGAGAGAGAGAGAGAGAGAGAGAGAGAGAATCTGAAGCAGGCTCCATGCTGGCAGTGCAGAGTCCACCAAGGGGCTCAAACTCACAAACTGTGAGATCATGACCTGAGCTGAAGTCAGAAGCTTAACCGACTCAGCCACCCAGGTGTTCCAATTATTATTCCTTATTAAAAAAAATTTTTTTTTGAGAGAGTGCACACGAGAGTGGGGGAAGGGCAGGAGAGGATGGGAGAGAATCTTAAGCAGGCTCAATGCTGAGCATGGAGCCCAATGTGGGGCTTGTTCCTGAGATCAAGACCTGAGCTGATATCAAGAGTCAGGCACTTAACTGAGCCACCCAAATGCCCCAACATTTTATTTTTAAGTGATGTCTACACCTAACACGGGGCTTGAACTCACAACCCTGAGATCAGGAGTCACATGCTCCTCCAACTAAAGCAGCCAGGCACCCCAAGCTTCCTCCCTTTTAAAAAATCAAATATATCAAGCATACAGGGAAAAAAAGGATAATATAAGTGGTATTGTTCTATACTATAGAAACGTTAAGATTTAGGGGTTTGTATGTAACTCCCACTGATTCTTCTCTCTTGTCAATGTGCAGTTTTCTCCCCCACTGAACAGGACTGACGTGTAACAAATAGGATATTGTAGAAATGAGAGTGTGAGTTGCAAGGTTAAGTCCTAACACTGCAGTTTCCAACTTGTCCTCTCTTGGATCACCCATTCTGGGGGAAGCCTGTTCCCATGTCCTAAAGACACTCAAGCAGCCCTATTGAAGAGAGGTCCATCTGGTGAAAGAACTAAGGCCACCTGCCAACAACCAGCACCAACTTGCAAGATGGGCAGGTGAACCACCTTGGAAAGTAAATCTTCCAGTCCCAATGAAGCATTCAGGGAACTGCAGCCTCAGTCAACATCTTGACTACAACCTTATATGAGAAATCCAGGGACAGAATTATGCCAGCTAAACCACCACCGAATTCCTGACCCTCAGAAACTTCCTGAAGTAATACACATATATTATTTTAAACCACAAAGTTTTGGGGCAATTTGTTATGTGGCAATAGATAAAATTGCAAACAACTACATACCTACTACCAGCTTGTCATCTTAGCATTTGGTTTATTTATTACAGATTTTTAATTTTCTTTTTTAACATTTTTAATCAATTTTTTTTTGTTTTTTTATTTATTTTGAGACAGAGACAGGGTGAATGGGAGAGTGGCAGAGAGAGAGGGAGAGAGAGAATCCTAAGCAGGCCCATGCTGTTAGCACAGAGCCTGACGTGGGGCTCAAACTCATGAAACCAGGAGATCATGACATGAGCCAAAGTCAAGAGTTGGATGCCTAACTGACTGAGCCACCCAGGCTCCTAGATTTTTAATTTTCTTAAAAATATAAACCCCCCACCTCCAACACACACACACAAAACCCATTCAAAATAGAACAGATGCAGTTGAAACTCTGGCTTTATCCTGTCCCTGCCTTGTGCCTCAGGTCTCTGAAAAGGCACCACTGCACACGCTCTATGGAATGTGTGCTTACTTCCCTGATTTTAGGCCATCCAGGCCGTCTTCCTGAAGAGCAAACTCTTCTCCACATTGATTTGTTGTTGTTTCCCAGGCTCTGGCCTAGCTACTTTTCCTTCTTGTTTTGCAGAAAAGAACAGAGAGGGTATTTCAGAGGGTCTTCAGATGGCTCACATAACCGACTTCCTTTGTGAGTTCAGCACTAACTCAAAACCTTCAATCCCCATTTGGTCACTAATTCAGCTTAGGGTTCCTCATGGTACTTTAAGGCCCTGGCATTTGCCTTCCCGAGACCTGTGGTGGCTGCAATTGTGTTATCAGTCTACAGTGCCACCCAAGAGAGCTTTCTCTCAGAAATATGTGACAAATCAGATCATTTCTTTCAGGAGTAGAGAACTATTTTGTAAATTTGTAGGGAAAAAAATGGAAAAATTTTGGTATTCCCTACTCTTTAAACCAAGGATCAACATCTCCAGCCAAGCTTAATAGCCCCTATACTTCCTGAATTTCAAATGTACGTTTTCTCTAAACCGTCTATCTGCATCCTGTTTGCCTGTCTTCTCCATAGTCATTTAAATGCAGCCAAACTATATACCTGAAAGAATGTACAGTATGTTGGGGCACTTGGGTAGCTCAGTTGGTTGTATTGGAGTCTTGAATTTGGCTCAAGGCATGATCTGTTTTTGAGTTAAAGCTGTGTGGGGCTCTGCTGAGCCTACTTAGGACTCTCTCCTGTCCCTGCCCCTCCACTCCCCCCCCCCCCCCCCCGCAAATAAACTTAAGAAAAAATGTATGCTACACCAAGTACTGTAAATTATTAACCCTATCCTAACCTGTACAATGTTGCCACTTCACCGTCTCCTAAAGCACTGCTCTTGCAAACATCCATAGCTTTGTTTTTCCTATACCCATGCCTCATTTGGTTTTCCCCTATGGTAGGATTTTTATCACCAGGAATTCTGATCCTGTCACTCCTCCCTCCCAATAGGATAGGGCTAGAAACAGCTTTCACCTCCTTGTGGTCAAATGTTCATCTAGCCAGCCATTTTGTTGTACAAGGGTTATTTTTCCTAACCCCCCTTTGACCTGCATTCTGAAACTGAGGTGGTATTAACACATCAGTGTCAAAATCTAGCTCTCCTGCTTTTCCAGTCCAGTGCGCTCTTTTCCCCATACAGGCAGCTACACAGAAAGTGGGATCCTTGGTATTACAACCCTGTTGCAGACTATCTTCCAGATGTAGATGAGTGGTAGTACATCTTGAATTGGAGAAAGCAATTTAGAAGAAGCACAGAAGTCAAACTTCCTTTCATAAAGCCTTTACTTTGTGACATGATGCAAAAATCTGACAGGTACACATGGAAAAGTAAGACATGGTCACAGTTAAAAGTGAAGACAATCTAACCAGAAGCTTTAATGCCTGTCAGCTAATGTTGAAGCTTAAGTTCTGAGTGTGACATGCTGCAGGGTTGAAAGGAATGGTAATTAGTATTCCTCTCCTTCCTCTTCACCCTCTCCCTCAACAGAATCCACACCAACTTCCTCATAATCCTTCTCAAGGGCAGCCATGTCCTCACGGGCCTCAGAAAACTCTCCTTCCTCCATGCCCTCACCCACATACCAGTGAACAAAGGCACGCTTGGCATACATCAGGTCAAACTTGTGGTCCAGGCGAGCCCAGGCCTCAGCAATGGCTGTGGTGTTGCTCAGCATGCACACAGCTCGCTGTACTTTGGCCAGGTCTCCACCAGGTACCACAGTGGGAGGCTGGTAATTAATGCCAACTTTGAAGCCAGTGGGGCACCAGTCCACGAACTGGATGCTGCGCTTGGTCTTGATGGTGGCAATGGCAGCATTGACATCTTTGGGAACCACATCACCACGGTACAACAGGCAGCAAGCCATGTATTTACCATGGCGAGGGTCACATTTCACCATC